GGTGAGGCCGCTGCGAATACTTGCAGTGTGAGTAGAGCATAGTGAAAGCGAACATTTGATGCCACTGAATACTCTGAGCTGCACCTCGATATTACAACCACTAGTAGTATTCTTTGTGTTATATGTCACATTAATGAGAATAAGTTGTGATGGATTGGTCCCTGACCTGTAAAAGAACTGATATAAGATGATAGACAATACAGTTCGTAGAGAAAAAGATAATTTAAATTCTGTAAATTTAAGTCGTAAACGTGAAGACAATCTCTCTCATAGTGGAGATATATAATATCCCAGAGTACAGGCTTTAGATGGACCATAATAAAAGATAATTCCGTCATGGATAGGATTATAACAATGATAGATTACAAATGCAATCTGCTAAATCCCAGTTTTCTTAAGAGTTTATTCTCAATTCAGTACCACCAGTGGTGCTTTTCTATCGTTGCACAACCACCCCCAAGACAGTACTACTACTAGTATGTGTGGAGAACAATATATCCTTATGACGGCGTTTGGCCGCAGCTGCTATGCCAATTGAAACAAGCACCTTGCCAATAAAACACTGCGGAGCATATACTTTGTGAGCTTTGGAATCTTATTGGAAAGTACTACGTCCAAGCTATCTTGGACTGCTACTTTTAACTTTAAGCTCTTCTGGAATGCGTCGAGGATAGACATGGTGTGCTGTCGTCGGACCCAAACACACCGGTACCTGCCTAATATGCAATCTAGCAATACGCGGCACAATTCCTAGGCACCCGGATAACTCGGTTCTCCGTCGTCGTTGAAACAGACGCTAACCCGCAAACAATATCCGGAGAAACGAGCAGGCAGTGGGTGGAGCATTGCCGCGGGGATTTCGCTTTCAATGCAGACCGAGAAGCAAGAAGGAAAGCAGTGTCCATCAATCAGAAGCGAGCGATTAGCTGACGAGCAAACGATGAGCTAATGATCAGTCATTTGTGGCAGTCATGAACAGACCGAATAAGCGATAAGTGGCAAGCAGATGTAACAATGCTTTCTAGAAGCACAATCGGAATCCCACCGAGCCGACCAGGGCCAGGGTCACCGCACCAATCAGCGTGCAGCGGAGACGCGGCTATCGTCGGGGCGCGGCAGGGTTGGGCGGGGCGGGAGCCTTTCTGTTACTTAATTTTAACCTCTCTTTTGCCTCATTGGTTCGCCCTGCTAAAAATACACTAAAAGAAACTGCTGGCCTGTGGGGCAGGAACACCAGGATCTTCCCTTTTCTTTTTTTCGATACTGGCTAACTAACTATGCTGCTGATAAGGAAAATTGTATGAGAAAAAAAAGTTAGATGCAGATGCAATTAGCGGGTGGGCACGGCCCTCGGCCTTTCAACGGACAAGCCACGCCCGCGCTCCCCCCCGATGTAGTAACCGCGACTCAACGTGGCAGGGTATCTACCTACCCTTTCTATCTTCTGGTTCTTCCTTCCTTCTTCCTTTCCTTCTCTCATCTGGCCTTTCGTCTTCCTCCGTGTTCAACCTCGACCTTTGTGTGGCCGGCAGCTCATCCTGCAGAGGCTCAGCCAGCGGAGGACCAGATCGTCATCGACCCACCCGTGAGAATTTTTCTAGTATCAGTTTCACGTTCATCGGCACTTTAGCTGCTGCTGCTACTGCTGCTGCTACTTGCGTCTATCTGCAACTAGACACAGCTTTCATTTCCAGTCACGATGCGTTTGGACGGTGTTGCCCCCCCGCCCGATGCGGTTGAGCCCAAGAGTCAGCGGGAGAAGGATGAGGACGTGGAGGACCTCAAGGCGATCGACGGTGCGCCCGAGGTGGACGCCTTTGGCGATGAAGCTAATGCGGAGGTCAAGTACAAGACTTTGAAGTGGTGGTAAGTACTTCTGACGCGCGTGATGATGGACGACAAGCTAATGACGCTAGGCAATGCGGAATGTGTATGTGACCAGGACGATAACTTCATGTTGTGAGATACTAACCAGCCTAGTCATGATTGCTGAATCTGTGTCGCTCGGTGTCTTGTCTCTTCCGGCTACTATGACGGCCCTGGGTCTTGTTCCGTAAGTCAGCGCCTCGATGCTTCTGCGCTGCGACTAACCGGTGCAGTTCTCTCATTCTCATCATCGGTCTCGGTATCCTCGCCCTTTACACTGGTTATGTCATTGGTCAATTCCGTGAACGCCACCCCTACATCCACAACCTTGCCGATGCGGGAGAGATCCTCATGGGCGCTTTTGGCCGGGAGTTGTTCGGTCTGGGCCAGATCCTCTTCTCTATCTTCATCATGGGTAGCCACATTGTCACCTTCACTGTCATGATGAACACCATTACCGACCACGGTACCTGCTCCATCGTGTTCAGTATCGTCGCGTTCGTCATCTGTCTGGTTCTCTCTCTGCCCCGCACCATCAAGAACTTGACCTACATCTCCACTGCCTGTAGGTTTCCGTTCCCCATCTATGCAGGACGACGCTAATGGATTAGCCTTCCTGAGTATCTTCTCTGCGGTTATGATCACCATGATTGGTGTCGGTGTGCAGTACAAGGGCGGACAGAACATCAGCATCACTACCGAGACCAACCTGTACACGGCATTCAGTGGTGTGACCCAGATCATGTTTGCTTACTGCGCCCACGTCGCCTTCTTCGGTCTGATCGCCGAGATGGAGGAACCCAAGGACTTCCCCAAGGCGCTGTGCCTGCTGCAGGGCTTCGAAATTTCTCTCTACGTCACCGCCGCCATCGTCATCTATTACTATGTGGGTAACGGAGTTGACTCGCCGGCTCTGGGATCGGCTGGTCCTGTCTTGAAGAAGGTGGCCTACGGGATGGCCATTCCTACTGTGAGTCTACCCCCTTTCGGTGTTCGAGGTTTTGTTCTGATGTATGTAGATTATTGGTGCTGGTGTGGTCAACGGACATGTTGGTCTCAAGTACATCTATGTGCGCATCTTCCGCAAGTCGGGACGTATGCACAAGAACGACTGGGTCTCCGTGGGATCCTGGATCGGTATTGGCGTGACCTGCTGGGTGATTGCTTGGATCATCGGCGAGGGTATCCCATCTTTCAGCAACCTGGTCAGTCTGATCAGTTCGCTGTTTGCCAGTTGGTTCAGTTTCGGTCTGCCGGGTGCCTATTGGCTGCACATGAACTACGGGCAGTGGTGGTCGAGCCCGAAGAAGTGCGCCCTGACCATCATCAACATGCTCATCTTTGCCATTGGTGGTGCTATGGTAAGTTTTCTCCCATTCATCATAATGTGAGTTTTTGCTAATTGTGTAGTGTGGTCTTGGTCTGTACGCGTCCGGCAAGGCGATCCACGACGACTCTTCCCGGTCCAGCTTTTCGTGCGCCAACAATGCATAGAGTACTTGGAAAAGAATTGGATGACTAGACGACTAATGGGAGGCGATTTAATGTATATAAAAGCACAATCCATAGAATCCGTATAATTTCGTGCTGAGCACGTCAATCAATGTGCATACTGTTCACAATGCCTGCATATTATACCCGAGGGAGCAGATACAGTTGCTGCGATAGACCCGTTCTTCTATCTTCATGTGAGCTGAGAACATGACAGTCCGGACTCAACTAGCAGTCCGATCAAAGACTACTATCATACACACTAGTTGACAACTAGGGTCAGTCAGTATGTAGTTGCCAGGATCTCATGAATAGCCGGGTATTTTTCTTTAGTTTCTATATTTTTTCGATACTTATATTCTTTCTTTCCTTCGCAGTTCGTCCTATCTTATAGTATTACTTAGATGGAGATATACCCCGAATGATGAAGCGACGTGTTATGTAGATGTGTGTTTAACTAATGATGAGTCTCAGCATATGTATCAGGATGGGTACACTACTTAGTGACGGGGATGGACCACCGTGCTGAGGTCATATCGTACTGGGTTTTCTTCCTGCTGATGATATACGCGACCAACCTTGAAATATGTCCATAGATTATGCAGAACAGGTTACAACACATTTCAAAATTAAAAGGTAAAGCCAGATGCAGTAAGACAATACCAGATACTGGACCACGGCACTCTCTGAAAAAGAAAGTTGCAACTTGCTCACTTGCACACTGACTAGTATATTTCGAAGATGCATTGATTATTTTGCATTGGGAGGCTTCAAGTGCAGGTTAGCTCACAATATACATAACTATCGTCGGTTGGTCTGAGCGAATTGATCCAATTGTGGAGGGTAAGATCTGGTCTGTGAATGGGGACTGCGGCTGACGTTGCATGTGAAAATGCGGCTGAGGTGGACCGATGATCTGGCGATAATGCAGACAGACAATTCATCAAATCCTAGATGGAAGTCAAAGATCGCAGATCGTGCCATATGAGGAAGTGAACAGTGCATGCATATTGCATCAGAGAAAATCGCAATTCGCGCGATGCTGCTTGGCCCCTCATTAAATAAAGACGGTGGTGGTTTACTCGGCATATTGTTAGGGTTGGTCAACACCATTGATTTTAGACCGACGAGGGCAGGATAGTGAGTCTTCGCCACAGACTCAGCTCGGCTAGTCGGAGTATATTGAACGCGATCTGAAGATAAGCTGCAGATAAACAGCTGCTGTGTAAGACTACATGCACTGTGATAGGATGATCTCGTATTGACGATCACTCGGATGGCCCGGCGATAGCAAGTCATCCCACCATCACCTCGGCCCGATCATGCCGTCGTCTCGGTGCATGCACATCACCACACTGCTCGTGCTACAGAGTATGTGACCAGGTCAGCTGTCATGCCAATTCATACGTGAGGATCTTACAACTGAAGAATAATTCCGATCAGCAGAAATACAGACAACTGTCTATGAGTTCAATTGACCGGCTTTCATTTCCGTTGTGAAGGCAACAAAGAGATGGCCCGTGAAGCTACATGATCCACTTTCTTGCATGACAGCCCCGGGCTTAATAAAACTAGTCCAATATTTATTATTCCTTCTGTCCCCTGCCCCAATTCTTTTATCTATCTTCAACTTGTACTACGCAATGGCTACCATCTCCGTATCTCCTTTCCCCGACGTGGAGATTCCCTCCACCGACCTCTGGTCGTTCCTCTTCGAGCGTTCAGATCGGCCGTATCCACTCTCCCATCGTACGTTCTCCACTACCGCATCATGCCAGATATCAACAATTCTAATCCCATACAGCCCTCTTCGTCGATCCCCTCACCAACCGCAGCCTCTCCTTCCAACAAATCCGCCAACGCGCCCTCCACTTTGGCCACCACCTGCAATCTAAATGGTCCTGGCAACCCGGCGACGTGCTCGTCGTCTTCGCCCCGAATGCCATTGACCTGCCCCCGCTGATCTGGGGTACCCTGGCTATCGGCGGTGTCGTCTGCCCGGTCAATCCCAGCTATCGCGCCGAAGAACTGCGCCATCCGTTGATAGATGCAGCCGCCAAAGCCATCGTCACCACCACCGCGCAAGCCCCCATCGTATACGAAGCCATTGACCGCGCCGGCCTCTCCCGCGACCGTGTCATCCTCCTCGATCAACTAGATCCACTATGGGCGACTATCAAAGACACAGACTACGTCGCACCTCACCGTCCCCCGATCCAGAAACCCGAAACAGACCTCTCCTTCCTCGTCTACTCCTCCGGAACGACCGGCCTACCTAAGGGCGTGATGCTCTCGCACCGCAACATGGTCGCCAACATGGTGCAAAGTGCTGTTGCCGAGCAGGGCCAGCTGGTCTGGAACCAGGATCGCATTCTAGGCATTCTGCCGTTCTTTCATATTTACGGTATTTCCCATCCCGCTCCCTTTTCCACTCCCGCCAATATACTGACCAAATGGGTGATAGGAATCGGCTTCCTCCTCAACTACACCATCTACACCGGCGTACCCATGTACGTCCTCCCGCGCTTCCAATTCCCCTCGTTCTGCGATACCATCCAGCGCCATCGCATCACGTACGCCTACGTCGTGCCCCCCGTTATTCTGGAGCTGGTCTCCAACGCCGCCACTAAGAACTACGACCTTTCCTCCTTGCGCATGGTGGTATCTGCTGCGGCACCCCTTGCTGTGGATTTGATCCACGCTGCGAAGCAGAAGTTAGGTCTTGTGGTTCGTCAGGCATATGGGATGAGCGAGTGTGCGCCTGCTATTCATTTCCAGGTACGGATCCCTGCCTACTACCCCACAAACCAGAGGATAACTGATGAAATGAATGATAGACCTGGTCTGAAGCCCACACCCACCCCGGCTCCGTCGGCCGACTCATCCCTAACATGACAGCCAAATACCATCCCATTCACGACGGAGATAATAAGGAGAAAGAACTCTGGGTGAAGGGCCCCAACGTCTTCCTCGGGTATTTGAACAACCCCACCGCGAATAAGGAATCCTTCTCTGAGGATGGATATTACAAGACTGGGGATGTGGGGTACGAGGATGATGCGGGGAACTTTTATATCACCGATCGCGTTAAGGAGTTGATCAAGTATAATGGGTTTCAGGTCGCGCCGGCGGAGTTGGAGGGGATTGTGCTGGGGCATCCGGCTGTGAAGGATGTGGGGGTTGTCGGGGTGAAGAGTGGGTTGGCAGGGAGTGAGTTGCCGAGGGCTTATGTTGTTGTTAAGGGGGATGTTGGTGGGAAGGGGGGTGAGAGGTTGGAGAGGGAGATTGTGGAGTTCGTGGAGAAGAGGGTTATTGGGTATAAGAGGTTGAGGGGGGGTGTGAGGTTTGTGGAGAGTATTCCGAGAAATCCGTCGGGGAAGATTTTGAGGAGGGAGTTGAAGAAGTTGGAGAGGGAGGCCAAATTGTGATTATACTTACTGTATATGTAGTATGGATGGTTGTATATGAAGTGTTTATGCATGTATAGTCAAATGTATTATTTCATGATTGAGCTGCTAGAGGTACATATGTAGTATACAGACATCTCAATGTCTACTCATACATTGAATAACCTCAATCCCTCCTCCACCACCCCCCTCCACCCCCGCAGCTTCCCCTCCCTTTCCTCCCCTGTCCCCTTCACACCCACCTCCACAATAGCCCTAACATGATTCACCACCCTCTGCATCCCCTCCTGCCTCTCACTCAACTTCATCCCCTCCAACACCCACCCCTGCCCCCTACTCTTACACACCTCCTCAAACACCCCTTCCAACCGATCCCTCTCCGCCTTATCCTCCACCCCATACCGATAATTCCACAGGAACGCCCGCACCGGATTCCACCGCGGCGCCGGCACCACGCTCGCAAACTCCCAGTCCAGGATGCCGGTGATGGGACATTCGGGAGACGATGGGTCGCACATGATGTTCGCGAAGTGGAGGTCTTTATGAGCCAACACATAGGGTACATCATTCAACTTGTCATCAGACCCAATAACTGAGATAAACTGCTCCAACCGAGGGATTAAATCCCTATGTGTCGATAGTGATGGGTGAGTGGATATAGCATGGATATACCGCTCCACACACGCAGCATTATACTCCGTGTAACTCGCATACCCATCACTCTTGAACGGATTCAACGTTTCCAGCGTTTCACCCATTCCAGCCCAATATGTCTCCACATCCTGCGTCTGCCAATACGTCTCCTCAATAGGCGGACCCCTCACTATCTCATCCCCATCATCACCACAATGGGCTGCTAACTGCAATCCACCCACATACCCCCCCTCCCAGGGCTTACCATGCAACTCCGTCACAAACCCCGCCACCTGTTCCACCAACCTCCTCTTCCTTCCCTCATCAAGACTCTCATACACCTCCGCAACAGACACCCCCGGCACCCGCTCCAACAAGGTAAATTCATACCCGAGGGGATTATCCCGACTCGCCGAGTAGGCAATCACCGCGGGAACGGGTATAGAAGTGTTCCGTCGCACCCAGGTCATTACTCCCACTTCGTTGAGGGTCTTTATCCTGGGGATTTGGGTCCCCGAGATGCGCAGCACTAGGGTGATGCTCCCGTCGGAGAGGTCTGCGCGGGCGCGGATTGGGGGCGTGGCGGATGCGGCGGCGGAGGGGGCGTAGTGGATGAGGTAGATTGTGTGGAAGGCGGCGGAGACGGGGAGGGGGGTGATGGTTGTTGGTGGGGGGAGGGAGAGCGTGGTGAGGAGGGTGAGTATGCTGGTTGAGGAGGGGGGGGGTGGGAGGTTCGATGTCGTCATTGTCGGTGGTGGTTGTGTTGGTGTTGTGGATATCGTAGTCATGAGTTAGGGTGGGAGGGAGCTGTTCGCTGGGAGTATGTAGGCCATGATGATTGAGCTGTCATTGTGATTTAAATAGTAGTAGTATCCTCATGATGTTGAGGATATTTTGACAATCATATTGTAGTGATGAATATTGTTGCATGACTCATGGTGAATCATGTACCATCATCCAGCTAGCTGGTAAAAGTTGCGCGAAGGATGAAGCTAGTGTGTAGAGCACACATGGTGATAGGTAGGCCGACGGTGTTCCTGGATAGCTTATCGTGTGGCGGCGCAATTGGACTGATAAGCTTCGGAGGTGATGATATCCCTGGCTTGATTGAGGTGAGGTTTGGTTCAGGGGCCGCTATCGGAGGCACGTGATATACTCATGCCTCAGGCATATATGTGCTGTTATACTGTAGAAGCGGTGAACTGTTGATGTATTCTGAGATGACCATATCCGATTACAGCATATGCATATATATGATGAATTGCAGTTCTATATACGGTCCAACTGGGGGTTCAGATAATGTGGTGACCAAGACTGCCAAGTCAAACCAACAATGAATAACGATCTGCAAACATCTCCATCTGGCCCTACGGTAGATCACGATCTGGGCGCCGAGGAACTAGGCTTTAGATTGGTCTTAGTAACGACATTCTAGGTAATCGCTGTTAATAGGAGACTGCAAGGTGAACAACAAAGGGTCAAGTGAATCTCGAGAAAGATAGTATGGGTAAAGCAGCGCGCCAGTGAAATACAGCATAAACGCCAAATGCTGCAAATGTCTGATATCATGATATCATCCAAGACTATGTACAAATGTTTCACTTCAACTGATCCTCGCATAGGTCGTAACATCCTAATGTTTGGGATGATATTGGTACAAATGCCAGTTCTCCATCACCCACCACTCTGCGACATGGGCTGCATCCCGCACCCAATCCACCGCATCACTGCCGTGTTCCTTCTCCAGCCTCTTAGCCAGATCAACCAGGTTGAACTCCGTCACCGGGTGCTGCTCCTCCGGATCCTGCTCGACGTTCGTGAACCGCCACTCAACGTCGTCGACCAGTGGAATCACCAGTCGATATTCTGGATGGGCAGCAGACCGCACCGCCAGCCATGAACCACCAGTGTTCATGACGGTGAATTGCCAGTTCTGGCGGCCGTCCATTTCCGGGACGAGCTCGCGGATCATCGACTGGCCTTCATAGATGGAAAGCAGGTCCTGCGCGGTATGGGTGCTGTTGGGTCCCAGAGAGGACGATTGGATCAGCAGGTCCAGGATGGTAGGGACCACTTGTTGAGTGATAACTGGGGTATTGATTTCAATGGATGGGAGATGAGGATGAGCAAACACCATTGGAATGTGGAAGCTGCCAATGTGGGGGTTATCGTATGGGGTGACGCCTCCATCATTAGGGAGGGAGAGACCACTGTCACGGTTAGAATGATTTACATTGAATTAGAGAGGTTAACTTACTGATCACCAGCCATCACGAGCAATGTCTCGTTGATAACGCCCTTCTCGGTCAGGATGTCGATGATCTCCTGCAGCCAGTCGTCGATGTATCCAATCGTGTTCAGGTATTTGTTGATATCCTCGTTGGAGTTGGTGTTCTTAGACGACACCATCTCCTCATATGCGTTGTCGGGCATGCCCCACGGGTGGTGCGTTGTGCCCGTCAGATGCGTCAGGAACAGCCGGCGGTGGTTGTGTTCGGCATCGTCGAGCGCATCGCGCACGTAGTCGCCCAGTACCATATCAGGGTATCCATAATAGTTGACCTCCTTCGACGAGGAGGCGGAATGCGTTGCATTTGCCTGTTCCAAAGACTCTTTGGTCACCACGTCATGGAATCCCAACTTCGGTGTGAGCTTGTCCTGATTATCATATCCCTCGGTGACGGACTGCATCCATGCCGAATGCCATGGCCAGGTGCGGTAGTCGGATTGATCAGTGGTGTGGTTGGTATCCACATCATCCTGGTGGTTGAATGCATCCAGGATATGCGGCATGCACGGCTGATAGATGTGATGGTTGTATTCGCGGTTAAAGTCAGCGACTAATGGCGTCACTCCGCACACCGTCCCGACAAGACTTTTCAGGGTGTAGGTGCCCGTGGTAAAAGCGTTGCGGGCACTGATGCCGCCATATGATCGACGGCCGTAATCATGCTCGTTGTCGTGACCGAATCCCGCGTCAAAGCCGGTTAGGAACTCGGAAGTGCGGGTAAGATTTGCGACGAGCTTTTGAACGTCGTCGGGGATTTTCTTATCTGAATAAGTTTTGGCGATGCGGTTCCACATGAAAGCGTCCTTGCGCAGGGGAAAGACGTCGCTCCGAGTACTCTCCAGCTTGATAAGAATAACATGTTTAATGTTGACGTTGCCGCTAGACAGGACCTCCTGCAAGGAGTCCAACACCGGGTTCTGCAGGTTAGGCACATGCAGCGGATCACTTTCGGGGTTATAGTGCAACCGAGGCACATCCGTCCTGGTCCAGTCTTCGAAGCCAGGCAATCCTCCCTTGGGCAGCCAGTCCCATATGGGCACCTTGTCTAACGGTGTGCGACTCTCCAACCACTCATAGTCGCCGGGCAGCCCCCCAGCGCGGACAGGAGAGTGTCGGTGGCCACCGATGAAGGGTGCCACTGGCAAGGCTTCTGACAGGAACATGTAGGCGGGATCCCAGGGTCGAACCACGCGCAGCAAGACCAAGCTGAGGAATGGCACCCAGACGGCCAGCTTGATCAGAATCGAGTGTCCCCGTCTCGTGGCAGGTGCAACTTCACCATATGGCTCGAGTAGGTGGATCGAAGAGCCATCGTCACTCTTATCGTCGAGATAGTCATCCACGCCGATCTGCTCGTAGATCTCGGGTTCCGGCAATCCAGATCTCGGGCGGAACGCGCGAACCCGGCTCATACAACGGAACAAACATTTGAAGGGCTGTCCCAGGATTGTGAGGATGCCACCAACAACGCGATGCAGTGGTGCAGACAGAAACCATGCCACAGTGAGCAGAATACCTTCCACGATCAGGAATCCTGTCAGTCCCTGCAACAATGTGCGCATGGCAGCGGCATCGCGGTGGAAGGTTTTGGCTTGTCGCCAGTGAATTTCGGCACCGGTGACGATGTAAAAGGAGGTATTCGCGGCGGTCATTCCGGACATGATTAAACTAGATTGGTCAGTGATTGACAGGCATTTCTGGTAAGTGCGCAGCCTACCTAAATGGTACAATCACCAAAGCTGATAACAGTGCAACAGTGCGCCAGTGGAATTTCTGAGTGAAAAAGCGGATGAGGAGGGTGAGAATCACATCCTGGAAGAAAAAGGTCGAGCCCCAAAGGAAGAATTTAGGAGGAGGGAGAGAATGGATGTGAGCGTAAAGATGCAGCAATTTGGCGCCAAAAAGTGCGATGAAGGAGACAGTGAAGAAATATCGGCGTGTGAACTCCCATGTGTAGTCGAAGAACTCGCCAGGAGATGTACGCAGACGCTGCATGGCAGGGCCACAGCGACGGAGGGGATTGAAGAGCTTCATGGTGCAGCAGGAAAGTCACAGTATCTCAGCAGACGGACCGCATGGCACCACGGACTAAGAGCAC